TTGGGGCGACTTTCACAAAATTCAAACTCAACTGTCCTTTGGGTGGAACGGTAATATAATAATACGGTTTTTTAAATCGGATAAAAATTATGACCTCTAATGGGTCCACAAGCTAAAAACATGATTTTTCGTACAATCAGGGGCCATAATTCAGGAAGTTACGGTCCGATATGGGCGAATATCGAAAGGAACCGAGATCTGTGGGTTATAAACTTACATTTCAAGTTTCAACAAAATCGGATAAAAATTGTGACCTCTATAAGGTCCACAACCTTGATATACCATATTTTTACGCTATTTGAGAACGAACGGCGGCCATTTTGTCTGTCAATTTTGGGCCGATTTTCATGAAATTTGAACTCATTCATCCTTAGGGTGTAACGGTGATATAATAATACGTTTTTTTAAATCAGATAAAAATTATGACCTCTATAGGGTCCACAAGCTAAAAACGCGGTTTTTTGTACAATCAGGGGCCATAATTCAGGAAGTTAGGGTCCGATATGCGCGAATATCGAAATGAACCGAGATCTTTGGGTTATAAACTTACATTTCAAGTTTCAACAAAATCGGATAAAAATTGTGACCTCTATAAGGTCCACAACCTTGATATACCATATTTTTACGCTATTTGAGAACGAACGGCGGCCATTTTGTCTGTCAATTTTGGGCCGATTTTCATGAAATTCAAACTCATTCGTCCTTAGGGTGTAACGGGGATATAATAATACGTTTTTTTAAATCGGATAAAAATCATGACCTCTATAGGGTCCACAAGCTAAAAACGCGATTTTTTGTACAATCAGGGGCCATAATTCAGGAAGTTACGGTCCGATATGCGCGAATATCGAAAGGAACCGAGATCTTTGGGTTATAAACTTACATTTTAAGTTTCAATAAAATCGGATAAGAATTGTAACCTCTAGAGTGTCCACAAACAAATTGTGGACGGACGGACGGACCGACGTCCAGACGGACGGACAGGGGCGACGGCATAATACGTCCACATGAAAATGTGGGCGTATAAAAATCGATAGGGTTCATACTCTTATGAAATGAAATGAAACCAGGTTTAGCGTCCTACTGTTCTGCTTTGACTGGTCTATTGAAGACTGGGCTACTTCATAGAGTCTCCACTTCTCACATGGTCCCCATTACGAAAACCTTGTGAACACGAAATAATTAATTCGTTACAACGAAATAATATTAACGAAATAATATTTCGTATTAACGAAATAATATTTTGTTATAACGAATTAATATATCGTTATAAGGAATTAATTATTTCGTTTAAACAAATTAATTATTTCGTTTAAACGAATTAATTATTTCGTTTAAACGAATTAATTATTTCGTTTAAATGTATTAATTATTTCGTTATAACGAATTAATATTTCGTTTAAACGAATTAATATTTCGTTTAAACGAATTAATATTTCGTCTAAACGAATTAATTATTTCGTTTAAATGTATTAATTATTTCGTTATAACGAATTAATATTTCGTTTAAACGAATTAATATTTCGTCTAAACGAAATAATTATATAAGAGTGGAATCGTGCACTTAAGGGGCTCCATATCAAACAGATCGGATGATAACTGTTGTCATTACAGCTTTCACAAGATTCAACAAAGTGAAACAAGGGTCCTAACTCTAGATGTAATTAACGGAAATTGCTGAAATTCAATAGGCTTCTTTGTTTTACTAATTTAAATGATGCATATAAATTTCATACAGATTGGTTGATAACTTTTGTCGTTAGAGCGTTCACAAGGTGCAACAAAATGAAACAAGGGCTATAACTCCAGAAGAAATTAACGGAAATTGCTGAAATAGGCTTCTTCATTTCACTAATTTAAATAATGCATATCAATTTCATACAGATTGGTTGATAACTTTTGTCATTAGAGCGTTCACAAGATTCAAAAAAGTGAAACAAGGGCCATAACTCTAGATGTAATTAACGGAAATTGCTGAAATTCAATAGGCTTCTTTGTTTTACTAATTTAAATGATGCATATAAATTTCATACAGATCGGTTGATAACTTTTGTCGTTAGAGCTTTCACAAGGTGCAACAAAGTGAAACAAGGGCCATAACTCAAGAAGAAATTAACGGAAATTAAATAGGCTTCTTCATCTCACTAATGCAAATTCATAATTCAGGAAGTTACGGTCCGATATGCGTGAATATCGAAAGGAACCGAGATCTTTGGGTTATAAACTTACATTTCAAGTTTCAATAAAATCGGATAAAAATTGTGACCTCTATAAAGTTCACAACCTTGATATACCATATTTTTACGCTATTTTCATGAGAACGAACAGCGGCCATTTTGTCTGTCAGTTTTGGGCCGATTTTCACGAAATTTGAACTCAGTCGTCCTTAGGGTTTAATGGTGATATAATAATACGTTTTCTTAAATCGGATAAAAATTGTGACCTCTATAGAGTCCACAACCTTGATATACCATATTTTTACGCTATTTTCATGAGAACGAACAGCGGCCATTTTGTCTGTCAGTTTTGGGCCGATTTTCACGAAATTTGAACTCAGTCGTCCTTAGGGTTTAACGGTGATATAATAATACGTTTTCTTAAATCGGATAAAAATTATGACCTCTATAGGGTCCACTAGCTAAAAACGCGATTTTTCGTACAATCAGGGGCCATAATTCAAGGAAGTTATGTTCCGATATGCGCGAATATCAAAAAGAACCGAGATCTTTGGGTTATATTCATACATTTCAAGTTTAAACTAAATCGGATAAAAATTGTGACCTCTACAGTGTTCACAAGCTAAAAAAGTGATTTTTCGTACAATCAGAGGCCATAATCCATGAAGTTACAGTCCGATACATGCCAATATCGAAAGGAACTGAGATCTTAGGGTGATAAACCTATATTTCAAGTTTTATTGAAATTGGATAAAAATTGTGACCTGTAGCCTGTTCACAAACAATTGGGGACAGACGTCCGGACGGACGGACGGACGGACGGACTGGGGCGACGACAATATACGTCCACATGAAAATGTGGGCGTATAAAAAGAGAGTTATTGTGTTCCAAAGTCTCGGCCAATCAAATTGCTTATCGCTGTGCTTACCCTGAGCAGAAAATGCTCATTATCGAACATGGTCAAGGTATTGATATAATGAAACTATACACCAAGTTTTATCACTCTCACTTAATTAGAACTAAAATTATTGTGTTCCAAGGCTAGACATATTCAACTGGAGAGCCTGCTTAATAGACTGGAATAACCAGACGCTAGAAATTGCTACAGGGTTGAGACACATGCTGTATTTCGCTGGACATAACTGATTTGAAATTAGAGTCAAAAAGGAAACAATTGAATGTAAATCGGTTTATATACAATCAGATTACATTATTATATGCGTTTCGACCCATTTGGGCCAATTTCTAGGTCCTAAATATTAGCGATATAGCTCCTTTAAGACGTGTGAGACTCGGCACGTTTACATCTCTTAATTTCATGTGTCTCGCGAGATTTCTACTTTCATTTCAGTTATTGTACTCTTAATTTCACTTGACTCGCGAGATTTCTACTTTCATTTCAGTTATTGTACTTATCACTGCCACATGCGAACAGAACAGTCTAGTATTTATCAGATATGCGTGTATGTGAAATAGCTTTTTTTAACTTTGGCTTCAACCGAAGAAATCTCACAGACAAGTTATTGGATACAATGTATATTTATTTGGGGTGTTATATAGTATTAGGATATTTGACATATATGTCTATGGAGAAATCACGGGTTAATCACGTAGATTAAGTTTATAATCACTCTTATTGGATTGATATATAGTCCGACAAAGGAGAAACAATGACTTCTGTTCAGGATTGGATTGATGATTTATCCGACAAAGGATTAAGTCAGCCTATCAAGGCAGATTAAGTAGTTAATCAAGGTAGGTGTATAGACAGTATAACACGATCACTTAATTACCTAATCAATCCAGCCTATTATCAATGATAATCGGGTTGAGTGGTAGTTATACACTAACACTATATTAATTTTGGAATTTGGCATATATTATTCACCATGTCTTGATGTCCGATGGGGCACGTTTGGAAAACAGGGTCGGACGTGTCCAGAAAATACTGAAATCTCATCACTGCTCTATACTTAATAAAGACATGATAATACTTCATACATCCCTTGGTTTTATTCATTCTATACTTAATAAAAACATGGTAATGTTATCCAAAACTGCTTTTACATGAGACAGTGCAGACATGAGCTTTGCAGGCGAGTGCTTTGAAAATAGCATATATTTCGTTTGACAGGCATAAGCCATGGAAGCATTCTTGATGAATCCAGACTAATATTGTGTCATTATTATATACTCTTCAAAAAAAGTAGGGGATATTGAAATGGAAATACATATGCAGGTTGCGATTGTGATAGTGTGAAATTTTGGTGTTTTAATTATATAATAGGTTTTAGTCTACACTGCACTACACTGACAGGAAAATGATGACTTTGACATCGTGTGGACTCATTGGAATTTAGAACCCATGTTCAGTCAGCTACATAGGTTAGGGATGCAGCCAAAGTACAGAGCACCCTTCCGTTACAAAAATGTGAAATGATCAGGAAAACACACAACATATTTTGCTTGCCTTCTGAGTCGATTTCGACCACCTAATGTGGTAAGCATCTAAATACATTGCAACGAAATTATAACAGGTCATTTTGTAGAAAGGTGTTAATTTGTTTTCTTAATCTATTCAACGAAACTAGTCAAGATAGTAGACATGTATGATGGTTTTCAATTGCAGTTTTATATGATTAACTCTACACTAACTTTTGTTCCTGCTGTTTATGTATTCAGTTACCTGATAATCATGATCCCATCATAAATTTGTTTGAGGATGCTACTGTATATATTTTCATATTTCCGTGTGGGCATATACAAATCTGTCAAAAACTCTATCCGCTATCACATTCACAAGCTTTATTTAAATTAATTACCTTATCAGTATATCCTTCCAATGGAACAGGTATTCCCCATTTCAAGTCACGAGTAATACATCTTGGTTTCAGACCATCTCTAATCCATGAATTTGTTATAACCTTTGCATTATGAGTCCAAATACCAGATTCAAAAACTTTGTCTAAATGGTTACGCAATTGTGGTTCAAGCTACAAATAAGAACAGAATACAACACAACCAGATTTTATAAATTAATAGATGTTCCTAATCAGGTCAGCTATTTCAATCTAAAAGAATGATATTTCTCATGACCAGGAGAAATAGAATAATAACCTCAAATAGCATAATAACCTCACAATAACCCCCCCCACCCCCAGTGAGCCTTATGTCACCAGCCTTGATCCCATCAAGAGAAATCATGGCCCTTGTTTCACTTTGTTGAACAATGTCTACCCTTTAACTACTAAAGTTATTATCATGCAATCTGTTTGAAATTTAAATACATTATTTAGATTAGTAAAACGATGAAGCCTATTGAATTTCAACAAATTCTGTTAATTACTTTTAGAGTTATGGCCCTTGTTTCACTTTGTTGAACCCCTATGTTGAACGGAAATTGTTGTAATTCGACAATCTTCTTTCGTTTTTACTAATTTAAACAGTAATAAATTTCCTACAGATCAAATGTTAACTTTAGTCGTTGAAGCTGTCACAAGATTATACAAAGTGAAACAAGGCCCAGAAGTTATTAATGGAAATTGCTGAAATTCGAATATTCTTCTTCGTTTCACTAATGTTAATAACGCATATAAATTTATTACATATCGGATGATAACTTTTGTTGATAGAGCCAGGGATCGAATTTGACGGACACAAACAAGAATAACATGATTTCTTCTAGACAAAATCAAGACCATAATTATGACAAAAAACGTAAATTCTTTTGATTATTTTCCTTCCTTGCAAAATGTAAATAAAGCAATGTCTATATCTGGCATTTTGTGACATATGCGCATGCGTCATGTATTCAGATTTCTTTGTCAGACATTCGGAATTCTTCAGTTTTTTCCCGAATTGATCGTTTTTATTGTGGTAAAAATCTTATATTTTATCGGCCAGGAGTTTATCAAATTCAATAAAAACAATACACACATATCATAATTGACCTCGTTTAGTGTTAGACTATCTGTCCTTTCATTATTGTCGTAATATTCCATTAAACAAATTCCGACATCGATCAAAAATATACGTTATTGGCGAAAGGTTTTCAAGTTTCACGCAACACAAACAGTATATTAATAGTAAAAAATCACGATATATCGCGGTTTGGATTTTTCTGGATGATATTTAACATAAATATTGAAAGATTGTTTTCCTTTTGATGTTATTTACGATATTTTATTGCTTAACGATGAATAAATACTGTTATAAACTCCCGAGTATTCATTCCACGAAGTTTGCAAATGCCGATACAGAGCTTTGTTTATACGTCACGTGACTTCTCGCTCACTTTTCCACCCGTTAGCATTATCCGTTTCTGTTCAATTTCAATACATCTTGACAAATTGATTATACCGATACTTTGATTTTCCAAAGGAATTATTGATTTTCAGATTGAAATAAATTTAAATAAAGCAGAAATACAAATAATGCCAACATTGTCAACTATATATTTTGAGAGTTCCGGTAGACAGATTTAATTATCATTCACTGATTCAGCATCGGACGTGTCATGCATAGCTGTCCGTGATCCGAAAAATCGCTATTTCAATTTGACTAAATCAATGGACACTTTTTGACATAGTACTTATGTTTTATAGTTTAATTTACTATCCTTGTATTATATAATGCATCTTCAAAAAGGTATACGTTTGAATGAGAAAAAACGAGTTTTCAAGGATAGCTATAAAAATATGCCCCGCCGAAAAGAACACAAACTTTTTTTATATATTTTTTGTGCCTCCCTCATATGTAAATATTTTTGATTTAAATAAAATATTATAATATTTTGAAAATTAAAAAAAATGGAATTTAACAACAACTTTTGCAAGTTTGTAAATTTTGTTTATAAATTCGGTACTGTGTGCTAAAAATAATATTGACTAGAAATAATAGTATTGACTAGAAAGTGTTAAGTGAATACTCCAGGGGTATTTCCAACTTCTTATGCATGTTTATTTACATTTAAAAGATGATAAACTGAAAGTATTGACATTTCATAAAATATCGCAATATAGTGATTATATCGCGATATTTCAAGGAATATCGCCCAGCTCTAGTGTTGAGGACAGTTTTGGGTGGTCATCGTTTTGTTTTATTAGCCATTAGTTTTTTAATGAAATTGTAAGGAATATGTGTACACTCCAATGTATAACATAACTTGTACATGTAATCCAAAGATAACAAAAGTATTTTCATCAAAAAAAAAAATTGCTTGTACATTTGAAATCAACAAGCAAAATTTTGCTTGTGTGTTTTCAAATAAAGTTCTATCCCTGATAGTTATAGAGCATTCACAGGGTTCTACAAAGTGAAACAAGGACCATAACAATAGAAGTAATTATCAGAATTTGTTGAAATTCAATAGGCTTCTTCGTTCAACTAATGTAAATAACACATATAAATTTATTACAGATCGGATGATAACTTTTGTCGATAGAGCATTCACAGGGTTCTACAAAGTGAAAGAAGGGTCATAACTCTAGAAGTTATAAATAGAAATTGTTTAAAGTCAATAGGCTTCTTCGTATTACTAATTCAAACAATTCATACAAATCAAATGATAACTTTTGTAGTGGAAGCATTGGGGGCAACAACAATATGCGGGCGTATAAAAATCTGCCATAGTGTTCAAAAAGGGACATCCAGAACAGAAAGTCGCAGAATACTTAATATCGATAGGATTCACGCTCTCATGACCCCAATCACTAAGGGGTAAATATCTGTGCATGGACCTTATATAAATCTTGGTCTGAAGTGTTGTTTGTACTTCTATCAAAAGAAAATTAGTTTCACAATTATTACTCGGCATTACCACGTTAAAATTGAAAATAAAGTGCATTAATTAAAAAGGGTGAGGAACTGTCTGAGAGGTGAGTTAATTAACGCTAGGGGTGAAAAACTGTGCAACGATGCATTTTCTGTAGAGGTGTGTTAATTAAATTAACTGACCGGTAAAAAATGAATGTCAATGGTGTGTATTGTGTGTTGCGATAACTGCATCAAAATAAATATAATCACGGACCAACAGGCTTTATCTGACACATAACGTGTTAAATCAAAATCTGGGAAGTAAAACTGTTTTACCATGCGATTTATCATTCGACCGTGTGTTTTACGCACCGATCTTTAGATAGGCGTGTGTGCTCACTATGATCTATGTTTCTCTTATGCGTCTTTTGTATTGCGTACCATATATATATATATAAAATTGCATTTAATGAAAAAAAAAAATTGGGCCTTATAGATAAAGTTGCATTTAATCAAATAAAAATATTGACCTTAATCTATCATATGAAATGCAATGTCGTCATTTATAAATATCAAACAGGTAAGCCCCAATGAGCCAAATTTTCCGTATGTAAATATACTTATTCTCGTAAACATACTTAATCTCGTCTTCCAGCAAGTTATTATTTGTTTTCAAATTTGTACCATACAATCGGATTCCTGATCAAAAATAATAATATAATTCAAATGTTGACCCAACCATTTCAGACTTTATTTGAGAAGATACTGATATTAAACTATACCAGCGGTTGCCAGGCAAGATATGCCCACATTTTACAAGAGATGGATAGAGAACAAACTAAAAAAAAAAAAAGTGATTTTTCGCACAATCAGGGGCCATAATCCAGTAAGTTATGGTCTGAAATGCGTGAATATCGAAATGGACTGAGATATTTGGGATAATAAATAACCTAGAACAAATTGCAACAGAATTTTTCTCGACGGAATCTGGTAGAAGAGTCCCTGAAGGTTTCCCAAACAAAAATCGCCCCAAATAAAAAGATAGGTTTTCGAGTAATTAGCATAAATCCAATATGGCCGCCATTGGCACCTTAAAACTCCAGTTTGGAGGGTGTAAATGTATTACGGGTAGATAGGAAAGTGGTACAGATGACTCAGAAAAACATAGCTAAAAGACGTTCCTGGGACGTCATATGGCCAAAAATTTGCATAAATCCAATATGTCCGCCTTTGAAACTTAAAACTCCAATATCTCGGGAATGGTTGAGTTTGGAGAATGTAAACGTATTTCGAGTAGATAGGAAAGTGCTACCAAAGAACTAGAAAAACAATGCCAGGTGACGTCCTCGTGCCGTAATAAGTCATACGGCCAACAATTAGCATGAATCCAAAATAAAAAGATACTTTTTCGAGTAATTATCATAAATCCAATATGGCCGCCATTGGCACCTTAAAACTCCGATACCTCAGGAGTGATTGATTTTATAGGGTGTAAATGTTTATAGGGGTTGATATAAAAGTGGTACCAAAGAATAAAAAAAGCATAATCTATAACGTCCCTGTGACGTCATAACGTCATACGTCCAATAATTGGCATAAATCCAATATGGCTGCCGTTGGAACCATAAAACTGCAATATATCGGGAATGGTTGAGTTCAGAGGGTGTAAATGTATTGCAGGTAGGCAGGAAAGTGGTACCAAAGAATCAGAAAAACATTGTCAAATTACGTCCATGTGACGTCACAACGCCATAGTCCAATCATGAGTATAAATCCAATATGGCCGCCTTAGTAAATCTTAAAACTCTAATATCTTATGTATTATGGGCAGACAATATGAAAAGACGTAATGATTAAAAGAACCATAAAACTGCAATATATCGGGAATGGTTGAGTTTAGAGGGTGTAAATGTATTGCAGGTAGGCAGGAAAGTGGTACCAAAGAATCAGAAAAACATTGTCAAATTACGTCCATGTGACGTCACAACGCCATAGTCCAATCATTAGTATAAATCCAATATGGCCGCCTTAGTAAATCTTAAAACTCTAATATCTTATGTATTATGGGCAGACAATATTAAAAGACGTAATGATTAAAAGAAGAACCGGGACAATTCTTCGACAATGTTATGATAATTCACGAAAGGGGGATTTGAAATTCGACTAGAAGAGATTTATCAAAACAGCAGCCACACTAATCTGCAGCAAGATTATTAAACAAAATCCATCATACACCTTG